CAAGCTGAGGGGCTCCCAACGCTGACTGTCACCACAATCCTGGTAAGGCAGTGACACACAGACAGGGGCAGAGCTGGAACTGCACGGGGCCTTTTTTCCCCCCAATATATTTACAGGTGGTTTTTGGGCTGGCTTTGACACTGATGCCCCTGTTCCTCACAGAGTGTTTCGGGGGCTGCCTCAGGGGTAGAGGTGCAAACTGTCAGTGGTTGGCAGTGGGAGGATTTGAGGCTGTCACAGCCCACACTGGGCTGACAGTTGTGTCACTGCTGAGCCACAGCCCAGGTGTGGGTTACCTGGGTGCTGTTTCTGTCCTGCAGTGGGAATGATGTAAAGCTCACACGTGCAGGGACAAAACCAGGCTCTAACCCCCAAATGCATCACCCTGGGCTCCAGGCAAGGGCGAAGCAGCAGCTGCAGTGAATTTTCTGATCCTTTGGTCAGGCCCTGCCCAGCCTGTGCCCCTCACCTGAGGCTTTGCTGGGCCAGAGAGAAAGTGTTTGGCTTTCAGCCTGAGAGTTTCATTCACCTGTGTGGGACCTGCTGGCTGCAGGTAGGGGGGACTCCAGGGGACGTCCTCCAAGTCTGGAAATGTTGTCCCTGCAACAGTGTGGAGAGAGGGCTTTGGGGAGGGCTTGGTAAACAGTGTTTTAACTCCCCACCAGTGGCCCTGCAGGCTGTGGGGGGGTGTTGTGGCTGTGAGGGTGCTGTGGCTGTGGGTGCTGTCGTGGCTGTAGGAGGATGCTGCAGCTCTGTGTTGTCCCCCTGCACAGGAGGATCCCTACGTGATGGTGAGGGGGGCAGAGCTGGAGGGGTACTGCATGGACCTGCTGGGGGCCCTGGCGGAGATGCTGCGCTTCCAGTACCGCGTGAAGGTGGTGGGGGACGGGCAGTACGGAGCAGTGTCCGCCGGCGGCAACTGGACCGGGATGATCGGGGAGATCCTCAGGAGGGTAACGGCCCCTTCTGCTCCAAACACAGATTGGAAACTGAGGCACAAGGAGACAGTGGCCAAGGCAGGAGAGGATTGCTGCCCCAGGGCACTCCTAGTGCAGTGCAGTCTGTCTCAGAGGCTGCCCAGTGTTCCTCTGCAGCCCTGAGAGACCGGTCAGGCCTCTTGGCAAAACTTACCTTGGACTTGATCCCAGGGTGAGACTTGTCCCTTGCAGGATGGCAATAATGCCTCGGGCTCTTCCAGGAAGGAAGGGTTACCCCATGAGGTGCCACTCCCTGTGGCTGATGTTCTGTCAGCTTTCAGTTAAACCTCTGTGCCCCTCTGAACTCCCTCTGTGCCCCTCTGAACTCCCTCTGTGCCCCTCTGAACTCTCTCTGTGCCCCTCTGAACTCTCTCTGTGCCCAGCTCCGAGCTGTGCCAGGGAAGCAGCTGTTGGAGGGACAGAGCTGCTCACTGGCTGGAGGGTTGATGCTCTCCTCTCTCCTCCTGCAGGAAGCTGACATTGCAGTGGCCCCACTGACAGTCACTTCAGCCAGGGAAGAGGTGGTTTCCTTCACCACACCCTTCCTGCAGACTGGCATTGGAATCCTGCTTCGGAAGGACTCGGTCTCTCAGGAGATGTCCTTCTTCCACTTCCTGTCTCCTTTCAGCAAGGAGACCTGGACAGCCCTTTTATTTGCTTATCTGCTGACGTGCTGCTGCCTCTTCCTTGTCGCCAGGTATGACTGAATTGTTTCATGGAGTTCCAGGCAGGGCTTTCTCAGCAATGCAGAGATTAGTTTTTAAGAGAGTAGCAGGAAGCATTTTGCTTTGAGGAACCGTCTGTACAGGTATAGTAGCAGGGCTCAGAAAGCTTAAGTCCTGTCAGATTAAGCCAGCATTAAAAGTAGGATCTCTCCAGGAGGAACACCAGATCCCTTGATGTGGATTATTTATATTTTTCCTGAATATATTTATATTTATATTATTTATATTTATATTTATATTTATATTTATATTTATATTTATATTTATATTTATATTTATATTTATATGTTAAACCCTGAATGTCTGGGTTTATCCTGTCATTTTCCCCCAGACTGAGCCCCTGTGAATGGAATGAGCCAAAGAATGAAGAGAACCACTTCACCTTCCTGAACAGCCTCTGGTTTGGAGCAGGAGCACTTGCCCTGCAAGGTGAGCTGGGAGGGTGCAGCAGCTCTGGGAGCAGTGGGGTTTCTAAGCTGCTGGTGTATCCAGCTCCATCTGTGCTGTGCTGCTGGGGGAAAAGGTGTCCCAATAGGGACACTTGGAGCACTAAACCTGCCAGTTTGGGGCTGTGTGATTATAGACCTGGGGCTACCTCTGTTTGGGGAATGTTTTCAGCTGTAACAGCTGCAGTGCCAAGCCAGCCCTGGCTCTGGTGCTTTGACCAGTGTGTTGTTTGTTGGTGCTTTGGGCCACTGATGTTGTTCAGCTCTGCCCTGCAGCTGCTCAGACCAGCACAGAGGGGCTTTGCAGGCTCAGGAGTAGCTGCAGGGCAGGGTTTGCCATTTGGCCTTTAAATAAAGGGAAGTTTTAACCGTAAAGCTCTTGGTGCCTCTCCCTGCACACACCCCTCCCGTGGTTCCTGTCCCCGTGGTGCAGGAGTGACGCCGCGGCCCCAGGCGCTGTCGGTGCGGGTGGTGGCCGTGGTGTGGTGGCTCTTCACCCTGGCCCTGCTCGCCGCCTACATCGCCAACTTCACCGCCCTGCTGAGCTCGGGCAGCGAGCAGCTCCCCATCCAGACCTTCGAGGACCTCGTGAAGCAAAGGAACCTGGAGTTCGGGACTCTGGAGGGCTCCTCTACCTTCTACTTCTTCAAGGTGCGGAGAATCTCCCTGTGCACACATGCCCAGCTCGTGCCTTAGAACAGCCTCATCACTATCAGTTTTCCTGGAATACTTCAAGTACTGGGATTGTTGTTCTGTTCATCTCTTCTCCCCGCTTTTCTCACAGAAAAGCAGGCAGAGAGAGCTCCATTTTTATTGTGTGTTCTCCTTTAGAGAGCACCCATGCCCTTCAGGGACTGTCCCCCTGTGCTTTGAGCAGGAGGTGCTGCCTGTGACACTCGTGCCCCGGTAACGCCGTGTCAGGGACAGTCTGTGCTCCCCGGGGCTCGCAGAGGGCTCGAGGGGCAGTGCTTTAAGTGCTCTTGTTCTCCAGATTGTTTTATAACCCCTGCACGTACATGCACTTTTTGTTTCCCACCTCGATTTGACACCTGGGTTTTTGGGCTGCAGAACTCCAAGAACCCCACCCACCAGATGATCTACGAGTACATGGAGAAGAGGAGGGAGCACGTGTTGGTCAAGACCTACCAGGAGGCCGTTCAGCGCGTGATGGACTCCAACTACGCCTTCATCGGGGAGTCCATCTCGCAGGACCTGGCGGCCGCCCGGCACTGCAACCTCATCCGGGCCCCCGAGGTCATCGGCGCCCGGGGCTTCGGCATCGCCACCACCCAGGGTGAGTCCCTGTGCCCCACACCCCTGCCCCACGGGGACAGGCTCTGCAGGGCCACGCTGGGGTAGCCAAGGCCAGGGGATGGACAGACAGAACACACGTGGCCCCAGCAGGGTCACTGGCAGGGAATTCTCACTGGCACCAACTCTTTCTCTGAACTGTCATAACCAAATGCCCCCCTCTCCCTGGGGTGTCCTGGATTCCCAGAGGTGTTTGCTTTTGCCTTGGTCCCAGGAATGCCGAGCTCCCACTGCAGTGAGCAGTGCACAGGTTGCTCTTGTGGGGCCCGACTGCTGCTACTTCCCAAAGCACCTTTACCTATCCTTGTCCCACAGGCGTCCCCTCACCTCTGTGACAGCACAGGGTGCTTGGTAGTTGTGTTCTGGGAACCCCTGAACAGGGCTGGCCCCGCTGGGTCACCGACAGTGTAACAGTGGCCGGGATCTGCCCCATCCCTCTCTCCCTCTCCATTTGCAGCCTCCCCCTGGACCAAGCCGCTGTCCATCGCTGTGCTCAAGCTGCGGGAGCTGGGGGACCTGGACTACCTGCGCAACAAGTGGTGGGAGAGCAGCTGCCTGCGGCACAGCCGGGACCGCTGGGGCCCCCTGGAGCCGCCGGCGCTGGGGGGGCTCTTCCTGGCCCTGGGCGTCGGCCTCGCCCTCGGCGTCCTGGCGGCCCTGGCAGAGCTCTCCAACAGCAGCCGCCTCACGGCTGGGCACGCCAAGGTGGGTGAGGGCTGTGCCGGCCCCTGTCCCTCCAGGGCTGCACCTCCACTGCTCCTGCTCCTCCTCAGAGGGGAGGGAGGCCGTGCCCTGTGCCCTGTGTTCATCCCTTAAAGCACCAACATTTCACAGCTGGGACTGTGGGATGATTTTGTAGCCTGAACAGGGGAACAGTAATAAAACAGCCCCTCCCTCCCCCCCAAAACTGAGTAGAAACGTTTCCTGTAGTCCCAAGCCATCCAAACTCATTCCAGCGTGCTGCGGGTTACAGAGGACAGCAATGATCAGTAACGAGTTTATTCTCAGTTATGGCTGTTCTTCAGTCATTTGACAAGCAGGAAAAGACACGTAATGAAACTGCACCAGTGTCTGAGTGTGCCCCTGGGTGCTCCTGCTCCCCATCCATCCCAAGGGCTGGGCACATGGAAAAGGGATCCTGTGACACAGAATGACCCACCCACCCCCTTCTCCCCTCCCTTCTGTCTTTCAGAAATCTTGTTGCTCTGTTTTCGTACAAGAGATCTGCACCCGCCTACGTATAAAAGAAAAGGCCAGACCCAGCCAGGAGTCGTCAGGGAAGGCAAATGCTTAGGAATGTTGTGCTGAAGGGCCGGGCCTGCGATAGGGTTGTACCATGTTCATGTCCTAGGAGCTGTGTCAGTGTAGAAAGATGTTTTTCTGCTAGTCTAGAGTAGTGGTTTTCTAATTGCACACAGAGCACTTCTGGAGTGGTGGTGGAGCTGGATGCAGAGGGAAATCGAGTGGCTTGGAAGAATTTGAAATTGGTACGGGAGGGAGTGGAACTGTGACAAACAAGGGAGTGAATGGCCTGGTAAAAGGGAACTGAGCTGGCCAGTGGTGGATCCATGTCTAGGTTAGGAGTTTACCCTGTAAGTCCATAAATGCCTGTAGGAGCAAGTGACTGGGGACAGGTTAATGGGAAGCCTCTGCTACTAATTAGTGTGTGAGGTGCAATCTGGGAACATTAAAGCTCTTGCCTGACTGTTGTGATCAGCAACAACAGCTTAAGCATTTCAGCTACAAATAGCCTCTATTCCCTCTCTGAGCAGGAGATGCTGGTTGTTGGGAAGATCATTCCTGAATCAGTGCTGTTTGTAACCCCAAACAGGCCCTCCCTGCATCCCAACCCCAGGAAGGGGAGCCCCTGCCACTAAGGAACCACTGGAGTTAAGGAATTCCAGACACGGCCTTGTCCTTTTTCCCTTCCCAGCACAGGATAAGGGTCACTGTTTGGTGACAATGTTTAGTTCTAGTTAACCTACTGAGGATGAGGGTTGACAGTGGAAATCCAGCAAGACTAGAGCAGGGAGTCCCCACCTGCTCCTGGGAACAGACAGGGAGAGCAAGTGCTGGGAAATCAGGGCTGGTTCTTATCTCAGCCCACAACAGCTCCAGCTCAGACACAGCCTGAGCAGCATCTGTGGGGGAGAAGGTGGATCAGTCCTTCCATCAGCTGAACTGCACAGAGCAGGAGAGATTTAGGTAAGTTTAAAAGCTGAAAATGCAATGTCAGGTTCACTTAGCACTTAAAATCTATTTGGTACGTGCCCTGTCACTGCTGGCAGAGTAGGCAGAGATGTATAAAAAAGGTTTCATTGACATTTAAATATATTTCTATATGAATGTCTCACAGAACAAAAAAATAAAGTCTTTTCATCACAAATACTGCAGCATTAAAATAAACACTTACCAAAATAAACAATGAGTGATATACATATATATGTATTTGAGTGTGTAGACTATAGAGTGAATCATATTGTTGCTTTTTTCAGTCACAAAAGCACAATATAAATACGGAATTTCCTGTGAACTCTTTTCCCTGTTGTAATAAAAATACATTCTTTACAGTTAAAGTAAAACTAGTGCAAGTCCATCCCGTGCTGCTCCCAGCCCATCATTTACATGGCACTTCGTACTTGAAGATGACACTGAAGATCTTGCCCCCGAGGCGGTCGGCGAGCCACGAGTTCTTGATGACGGCCAGTTTGAGGCTCTCGCACCTCAGGGCCGCGTAGTAGTTGGTGTGGATGGCCCTGCCCATGCCCTCGATCACCACCAGGTCCGTGTTCCGCTCCCGCACCAGCACCGCCAGCCCCTGGTCCAGGCGGCTGCAACGAGGGGGGGTCAGGGCCACACACCCCCCAAACCACCCCTGCCCCTCCACCTGCACCCCAGGGCTGCTCCAGGGGCTGCTCCAGAGCCAATCCCCGACCATCCTGCAGATGAGGGACACAACAACCCTGCCCTCTGCCCACCTACCTCAGATCCAGGCATGGAGAGCTGGAGCCCGTCTGAACCAAGAGCAGCTTCTCGTCCCTCAGGGCAGAGCTGTTTGTCAAAAAAACAGACAAAACCTTTCAGCAGCTGCTTCAGCAGAGTCCTGCACATCTGGGAACGAGCCAGAGAACCAGGAATATCGAAGCCTCCTTGGCCAAGGCTTCCCTTCCTGCTGGGACTTTGCCGGGAAGCCCCCTCTTTCCTTGAGCAGAAGGGTTATTGAGTGAGCCCCGTGTCCTCTCCCAGGGACAGGCTGTGTGTGACAGGGATGGGTTTGCCTCTACTAACACACAAAAGTTCTGGTTGAGTAGCCTGAGCACTTCTCAGGGAAGACACGGACAAGAATTACAATTATGGGCCGTCAGGAAAGATCCAATTTCTACATTTTTCACCTTAACAAAAGCAAACCCTCTGCCTTGGCTTTTGTCCAGGCTGCAGATTTCAGGCACTAGGAAACCCAGTTCACTGTGGGCTCGGTGAGTGCCAGGGACTCTGTTTTCCCCCCTGGATGACCCCGTTCCTGCTTACTGGATCACGGGGTCCATGGCCGCGATCCGCTCGGTCACGATCAGGGACTCGCTGTAGGTGACGTCGTTGAGGGCAGGGCCAGAGTTACAAGCCAAAATAACCTGTGGGAAGGTGGCAGGAGAGTTCACAGTGAGCCCCTGGAGTGCCAGATGTTTGAGTTATTCCCAGTTTTTGGCACAGAGGAGCCAATCTGAAGCGTCCTGCTGGGAAGGCAGCTCCACCCTCCACCAGTTACCAGAGCTCCACTGCCCAGGAACTCCCGAGGAAAACCACTCACCTCTGTCCCTCTAGAAAGGAGCTCTCGGACAAAAGGAAAGACTCCTAAAATTATGTCTATTCCACTGTTATCTGCGAAAATTAAGGCACATTTATGAGGAGGACCCTCCTGCAAGAGAAAACCAATGCATTCAGGATGGAGCACAAGTCACTGCAGAACAGTTTGTTATGTACAGCTCCTCGCTCCACGAGCCCCCATCTGTACCCTCAAACACTCGAGCCTTTGGGTCTCTGTAGCAGCAAAGTCCCAGCACAGACTGGGACAAACAGGAGGAACTGGGTCCCTGCTGGTGTCTTTGCTCAGGTGTCTAAAACACCCCGGGTTCCTCTGCTGTGCTTGAGACAGGGCTCTCAAACTCCAGCAGTAAAACCTGCACCTGCCAGCTGGAGCAGGCCCAGCTCCAGGGCCAGGCCTGTCACCTGTCTGGGCCTGCAGGCCCACTGTCTCTCCGAGAGCGTGCTGGAAGTCAGGACCTACCTTGGTGGGTGTTTAAAGCCAGCCTGGTGCTGGCTGAACAGGATTCCCTTCTGCCAGGAAAGGGCAGGATGGACTGCTGGGGGCAGTAACATCCTAAAATGAAAAGATATTGCCTACTCTCCATTAACCTTTTCATTTATTCCTAATCTGATGCTATGAAACTCAGTTCACACCAGCAGAAGTGAAGGACACTTAATTCCTAATAAAAACCTGACAGGACAGTGCTGGAGGTTCCTCAGTTATCCCTGTGACACAAGATTAGCTGATGCTTTGCTTTAGGAGGTAACACATAATGATCTGCCAGAGTCTGCTCATCCCAAACCTTTGGGCTGCATTTCCAACTGAGAGATTTACACAAAGACACAAGAGTGTTTCAATTAACCTTAATTAAACACTAATAGAGATCACATGGGGAAAAAAAAAGCTTTGCTAATTGATAAGTTAATTACTTCCAACAGGCTCCTACATTAATGACAGTTTAGACTGGCTACTCAGAGGGAGGAACAGCCCAAGTGCCACATCTGGCCCCAAGTTTTCAAACTCAGGGATCTGGTTGTACAGAAATAGTCCCTTGTAAGGAGGGGACACGCTGTGGTGCCTCTGGAGCAGCTCCAAGAGCAGCTGGGCTCCAGTGCTGCAGTTCCTGTGGGACTCAGAGAAGCACCTGGGCTGGTAACCAAGTGTCAGACTAATCCCCTTATTCCTTTCTTCATGGTGAGTTACTGGGACTGTGTCACCAGGGTTTGTTCTGCACTGTCTGAACGGTTTGTTAGATGTGCTAAACCCCCAGGATCAGTCAGGTGGTTTGAGGATGGAGGTATTTAATGTGTGGGTGAAGTGTAGTGTCCTACCTTCAGTCTCTGCAGCCACTGGCTGTAGGAATCTTCCAACCAGGGACGTTCTGTGGCACAGACAGAGTTGGGTCAGCATTTCTGACAGGCACTGATTCTTACAAACAGTCACTCTGCACACTGTCAGAGCAGTCTGTCCCTGACAGGGACAGAGCCCTTAATGGAGCTCTCGGTGCTGAGGCTCCTGCTCAAGGAGGGAGCTCTGCAGGATTTAATTCCCCTGGAACACAAACAGGAACATTCCACCCAAACCCTGGATCTGTATTTAGATAACCCTAACAAGTACTAATGTTTCCTTGTCATGTGGGCAGCAGAACTGCCAGAACAAACAATCCCACTCTCTTCTGCTCCCTCATTTACACAACACCCAGCTCCAACCACCACCTGGATCCCCCTGTACCTTGTAGCTTTGACTTGGCTTCTTCAAATCCGAACTGTGGCTCAGACTCCAGGACACTGCATCAGGAGAGAAATAAAGAGGCCACAGTTACACACCTTCCCCTCACACCACTGTAATTCAAACATTCCTACAGCAGGTGCTCAGCAGTTTTACTGCACTGGTTATTCTAGGGGGGGGGCAGGATTGGGAAACAGACACTTTGTGCTCATGTTAAAGACAAAAGGCTCAGCTGGACGTTCAGTTCGAGTTCTGATGCTGACAGGAAAATGTACAGCTGCCTGCCAGAGGCACAGGGTGCAAATGGAAACCTCCCCTCACACAACACTTGGGAGCAAACATCCAACACTTGACTAAGGTGAAACGCAAACTCCAGTTACAGTTGGATTGGTGCACTTCAAAAAACCCCAAAAAAAAACATAGCAGGACATTCTGTAGCTTAAAAGGTGCTGTTAAAATATGCAACACCTACTCTGAGACTGCCTTTGCTCCCCAGTCGAAGACATTCCCTGCCAGGAGTCCTTTCACCAGAGCAAACTGCCTCTCCTCCCAGCCCAGGGAATCCAGGGACTCTATTACACTCTGGAAACACTTTAAGGCTATTCCATTTTCTTTCTGCTTTACCTGTAAGACAGACATGAAATGCTAGTTTGTATCAAAAGCTTCTTACCCATCCTTGGCTGTCTTCAGTCCAAGAACATGTTCAAGCACCTCCTCTACATTTGTGGCCTCTCATGGACTGACAAGTTACTACTATCAGTGTGCTTAGGATCAGGGAAAAGCTTGCCTGGAATTCTAATAAAAATCATTCATGTGTTGTCCACCCTGTGAGGCAAGAACTCACCTTGGAATAGGGGTCTGGAAAGTTGAACTCGTTTAAACAGTGTTCCCTTGTATCCAAGAGACTCCTCACTGTCAAGGTACCATATGCACTGGAAAAAGAGAGAAAAAGAAATCAACTACTTCAAACAGAAAAAGTTCTCCTTCTCTACTTCCTCCTGAAGTCACAGCACCTCACACAAGCACTAAAGCTAAAAGTCTCATTGCTAAACCCTTGCTCTAAGGGGTAAATCTATGATACAGATTATTTAAATACAGGGAGGGGGAATGTTCAGAGCAAGGCCAGACACTTGAATTAACCTGCTGCCATTTTTAATAACCACGTACAAACTTTTAGTAATGAATTTCCTGCCAAGATACAATTTCTCTGTTCAATTCCAACACAGGAAATCCAAAAGCTCTGTGCAGAGGACCTGATGTTAGACACAGCAACTTGCTGCAGCCTTCAGCCTGCCTGGCTTTCAGTCTCTGCTTCACAACCTGCTTGGCCCTGGCTGTCTTTGGGCGTGCTGTCTCTCTGGAAGCAGCAGGTGCTGCCAAAGGGAAGGTGAAGGCACTTACAAGGGCTGCTGCCTGAGCGTCTGGAGCTTGTTCCAGTATTTCTGCCGGAACTTCTCCGCTCTCTCCTGAGCATCCACGGAGTCTGGCTGGCTGGCTGCCGCTCGCTTCGCCACCTGGGACGGAAATGGGGCAGCACTGGAGTTACCAAATTAATTCTTCCTCCGTGTGACTGCTCTGAAGTTCAGCCTGAGAAATAACCCCTCCATCTGCAGCCCTGCTCAGTGCCTGGGGCCCGTCTGCTCCCTCCCACTCAGCGCCTCCCAGCCTTCCTTCCCTGCAGCCACCAAAGAGCAATTTTAATGCCCCTTCTCCCAAAAGATTTCATTTTCCAGACTGTACTTTCAGAAATCAAACACAAGTTCTAACTGTTTATAGGAGGGGAAAACAACAAATGCACACACACACACAGAAGGAGAAGCAGGCAGAGCTGTAACAGTGCACATCGACCCCTTGTGTTCTCTCTTTGTTTACTGCAGGGACCGACTGAACCAGCCCGAGAGCAGAGCACTCCTGTGGGAGTCAGCTGAGCAACTCCCATGGACAGTGGCTGTGAGGCAGCAGCACCGTCCCCAGAGCAGGAACAGGTCAGGGATCTCTGGCCTTTGGTTGTGTAACTGTCCTGCTTGCAGCCCTGTACAGAGAGGTGTAGGTGCTATCAAAGGGAGAAAATGCTTTGAAAGCACCATTAAAAAAGGGAAAAAAGCACCACAGGAGAGGAACACTTCTGCCTTTGAAGGTGCCAAGCGTTTCCTCAGGAGCCTGGGCCAAAGTCAGGAGCCTCTGTTGCAGCAAGAGGGGCTGCACTTGCACACAGAGGGGTGACACAGCAGCAGGATAAACAGGATAAACATGCTGGTTCACAGAGTTATTTGCCAAATACCTGTGCCAGTCACAGGACTGTTGTGTGACACTCACCCCATCCAGGGCCTCCTCGAAGCAGGTGAGCCAGTATTTTCTGGCCATGGCATCATCTGTGAGGTCAACAGTGTCTGGGATGTAAGTGGAGGGGTCTTTCAGCAGTGGCAGGTTCACAAGTGGTCTCTCCAACCTGTCCATTTCCAGCATGTCAAACTGAGTGCCAAGGGAAAGGGATTGATTACAAGTCATTCAGAAGTGGATTCAGAGCAAGTTAAACAAGTACATGGGCTGTCAAAGTCCAGCCACAGTTAAGACGGACAGACTTGCAGACAGTTTATATTATTTATCCATGTCCATCCTACAGACAGAAATCATCAAGTTTTATGCCAGTTTTCCTGTGAAATCAGAATTACTGCACTGTCAGTGTGTTTGAGAGATGACTGGGCTTGTGCTCTTCTGTCCCATCATCTGTCTTCTCACAGGAAGTGAATTAATGCTCCTTAAAGACAGTGGAACATCAGATTGCAAATTCTGAAGTGTTTCAGCTGGAGCAAAATCCAGCTGCTTCAGAGAAAGGGCAAGAGACAAACATTCCCCCCTGGTTTGGTGAAGGACAACAAGACCAAGATGGTGAAGGAGAGTAAGACAAAGTAGCAGCCACAGTCTGTTCTATGAGAGTACACCAAACATCACACAGGACACAAGACAACATCACAGGACTCCAGACACCAGATCAGTCACTTCTCTGGGCAAGCAGGAGTCCCAGGGCTGCAGAATAATGCCCTATTCCCACACCACCACTGCTAAGAGAACACACACAGCTCTAGAAAGGACCCCACATACTGTACCACTCCGTGTTCTCTGCATGGGGTAAACATCAGGTGATGTGCTCATAAGACCAGAACTCCCAGCATAATTCTCTCCCCAGCTGTACTGGTTTGGATCTAGAAAAGAGAAAGACAGAGACACACATAATCTGAAAATAAAACTGGAAGTACTCCTGTGAGTGAGTCTAGAGCCAGCACCCCTGCTGAGCAGCTGCCTCACTGCACAGGCCAGCTCCCCTCCTCTTTAACAGCAAACATCATTTTCCCCTCTAACCCCCAAAAGAAATGTTCCAACCACTCCGTGAATTACCTGCTCCAAAGAGCTTCAACCTGAATGAGACAGGAGACAATTTAAGTTCTACAATCGTTATTTCTAACCCTCTTTCCTTGTTATTAACCAGCATGCCTTCAAAGCACTACGACTGAGCACAATTTCTTGCTTCTAAATCTGGATCCCTTATTGACAAAACAGAATTACAGAACTCTCAAAGCACAATATAAGTTTCACAGAAACACTGAAGTTACTTCTAGATTTGTTTGAGAAAAAGTTTAATGAGCTCAGGTGTACAGAACATGCTGCAGAAGCAACGTCTCTCATTCCTCTGCTTCCTTGCCCATCCTTAGGAAATAGGTATGAACAGAACTCCACATCCACTACTCTGAGGTGTATTTGATACTACAACTGAGTACCATTAACAGCCCCACTCTCTGTCCCACTGTAACTAAGGTACTGCCTGGCTTGCCAGTGCATTGACAAGGGAAAAAGAAAACTAAAGTGGCAGAATTCCAGCAAAGCTCCCTGATTCTGAGGAGTGCTGGACAGGAGGGTCTCATCTGTGAGGCTTTTTGCTCTCATATGGACGCAGTTTGGAGATGCTGGTCTTCCTCAGCACATTTACTGAATTCAGAAGTGGCTTCTTAAAGAGGTGGAAAGCTCTCCAAACCCACATTTCCCTGGCAGATTTAGAGTTCTGACTGCTCTTGGCAGAAGTGCAAAGAAGAGAAGAGCCCGGTCCTGCTGCCTTCTCAAAGGTGAGCAGGAAATCCAGGGAGAAATTAGGATGTCCCTGCCAGAATGTATAAACCCAAAGCCCAGCATCTGTGTTTAGTAGTGCCAAATGTATTTATTTAGGCAACAGCTTACATGCAGCCTCTCGAGAGAAACTTGGACAGTACACTGACATTTCAGAACACAGCATATACAGAACAGAGCAGTGCTGTACTTACTGTCTTGTTCAGCTCCTTTTAAAAATGCCCCAATGGCTCCCAGGTAGCCTTCATGTCTCAGGAACAATGCCTGAACCTCTCCCTGCCACAATATGAAACATTGCAATTGGATGGTCCCTGAGGGCTAACAGGTACTTCTTTGTCACTAGTTTTACACTTAAATTTAATAGAAACAACTAGAAGATGGCAATATTCATTTTGTGCTACATTCTCACACATTCAGTAACTTTAACTGGTGCTGCTGAAGGAGCAGGGGAGGAGCTGCTCTCACACATCACTGCAGTTCTTACCCAGCTGGACACATGCACGGGTGGGCTGTGCTGAGGCTGCACACCAGAGCACGGGGAGCCAGGGCCTGCCCTGCACCAGCCATGAATATTCAACTCCTCTTGCTTGGACAGGCTGGAAACACAAGGCCATGTGATTCCCAGGTTCAGCGTGTGCCACTGCCTCCAGCACATCTGAGACACTGCTCATGGCCCTTATTTCATTGCTCACCAACAGACAGAACTGTGTGCTGTCCCTAGGCAAGAGCTCCCCATCCAAAGAGTTTAATTGTCCATATAAAGTCCAGGAATGCTGGGCAGAATCCCCCACCCTGCAGCAGGGCCCCTCGGCTGCCCCAGCCTTCTCCAAGGCAGCCAGCAGGGACTGTGGGAACAGCTCACCTGAGGGGAGCTGCAGGAGAACAGCAGCTCCCAGGGAGATTTGGACTGGATTCAGAACTGCTGATAAAGTGACTCTGACATGAACCTAAAGCTGTGGTTTTGCAGTAATTTTCTCAGAACCCAAAGTTTTGCAGAAAGGGAACACAATGTTGGAACAAAAGGGGAAAAAGCATACAGGGGTCTCTTGCCTGAAGCACTGAGATGGGAAAAATGGTGTCATCTACTCTATAAAATTCCAAAAGTGCAGGAGCTAATCTAGCTGTAATAGTCATTAATGAGCTTTTGGACTTGACCTTTTTTCTAGTGAAAAATCTTCAGTATTCTCCACAGCTTCAAAACCTGCAAGGAACTTCAGCTTGGTTGACTTGGGGTTTGATTATTTTTAACAACAAACAACAAAACCCCACCGATGCCAACTGCTGTCTGAGCAGGACAAGCCCACGCTGCAGGCCCTGAGGGTGGGAAGGTGCAAGTCAGCAAGAGGAATTGAATAATGATGGTGGCTATCTAAGAACACAGTGAAAACTCATCACTGGGCAGCTACGAGACACTGTCAGTCAAAAATGGTAACAGAGGGAGGGAGGGAGGGAGAAAAAGGGCTGGACACAACTCCCAGGCACTTCACAGCGATTTCACCCCTCCCACAACACAGCCCTGCCTCACCTACCTAAAGAGCAGCCCTCTAAGCTTCACTTCATGTGCAAATGCACTTATTAAAGCACCTAAACATCCTAGAGAAAGGACTAAGCAGGTGGCTTTGCTGCAGGCCAGCCTCTGCCCCCTTACCTTGGAGAAGAAGTTGATGCTGTAGGTGATTGTGCGCATGGTGACGGGGTGGCCCCGGATGAAGAACCCTCCAAAGTAGATCTTATCCAGGTTGTGCAGTTTGGCATAGAGGCAGGCCAGCTGGCCAATGTCATTGCTGATCATGTGCAGTAAACTTTTGGCCATATCTTCTTTGGAAAACTCTTAAAGGGAAGGAACAGTAAATCAAATGAAACGCAGCTGAGGGAGCTCCCATGGACTGTGCTTTTCTAACCAGGAGTCTGCAGCTGGGGGAAGGAAAACACAGCTACGTCAAACAAGGACTGGGCATTTGGCTGCAGGTATCATGAAAAACAAACTCAGTGTCTGTGAAATATTTCTTGGAAAAAAAAAACCTGCTGGAAAGGCCAACAGGAAATGGCAAGAATCCATTTCTTCTCTCTAGGAACCACAGACCATCAGCCTCGACCTGAGTCGCACTGCAGGCATTTCACTGTAACACTGAAAAGAAACTGCAACTTATAGCAAATCCCTGCCACAGGGCCTTTCTGGAGCCCAGAAACCACATCTATTTCCCACAGGAATTAATCAACCCTGGACTAACCAGACTCCTTTTTTCCCTAGACAGGCAGTCCCAAACTGAAAATTCGAGTGTCTGCTTGTAAAGCAGTACCCGATAACCTTTTTAATCCATGAAACATTATGCAGACAAAGCACAAGGTCATGAGAAGGGCTGTGATTGTTTTCAGCTCTACCCCTTTAGATGACTCTAAAGGTGACTCCAGGGGCCAGGGGAGGCGGCTGGGCAGCTGTTGCACCCCAGTACCTTTGTCTGCCGTCGTGGACTTGCCGAAGCTGCTGGCGATGAGATTCCCGCTGAGCCCCAGGGTCTGGTAGGCCCCTCCATACACGTCCTTCACCAGCATGTCCACGTTGGTGTGCTGTCCCTTGGAGGCCAGCTGCAGCAACTCATCAAACTTCTGAGGGGGAGAAGCACAGTTACCACAGCTGTCCTGGACAGCCAGAGAATCTTGCTCATAAGCCCAGGGTATTTTTATTGATCAAAACCAGGGGGGTCAGCTTGCCTTATAATTAACCCTGCCAGAATGAAGTCAGAAACACAGTAACTAAGAGGACACGGAGTTATGTTTCCTTGAAGCATGAGAGAAAAACAAAAAGTTTGAGAAGAAGAGCCTCAGTGTGCTTTTACTGCTGCAGAATGTGTTAATGTCCCTGAAATTAAACTTGCAGGCAAGCTGCATTATCCCAATACTTAATTTATAACTCTGCTAATTTGAATTTCTTCCACAAAATCAAGACAGAACTAAGAGCAGGCACTGTCATGTTGTAAGATTTCTTCTTTAAGAGCATCAAACAAAAAGCACAGAGCAAGCTGTGTCCTCCCTTTGACATTTTCTTATCTGGTGCACAAGGAACTGCAGCTTTTCCTACACTGCTGACATTCAGGACACTCGTTTAAGGCACGTGGCTCTTTGGGACAGGAGAGACCAGCATGATGCAAGAGCTGAGGAGAGCAGCACCAACATTCTGAGCTTCCTCTGAGCATTCATTGAATCCCATTTAGAACAGACACCTGGCTACCTTTGTTTTGGTGAGCAGTGCTCCAAGACCCCAGAAGGTTCCACCTCCAATTGAGCTCCCTCCAATCCACTCGAATTTGTCTTCTGATTCTACCTGTCAATCAAACAAGGCAGATTTGTCTGGAAAGCCCTGGATAACTCTGAACACACAGACAGACATGAGAGTGCAGGGTTTGGAACAGTGCAATTACTGTAACTATTTAACTGTGCCAGTGGCAGGTGAGAAGTGCATGTTCCACATGCTTATATCACAAGCAGTTTTTGAAATCTTTGTATTTAATTCCTGGCCAATAATCCTAAATATAGATATCAAATAGGGTCCCATCAAGAGTGTGACAAAACAAACACAAAAAAAATCACTTTGATCTGACAGCCTTTGTCCTCACCAGGTAATGTAAGAACTTCTCTAAACACCAAATCAAATCTGATTAGGAAGAATGTGATTGAAATGGAAAAACATTCATAACTCTGTAACAGAAATAAATAAAAACAATTTTTTTTTAAAGGCATTATTTTCTTTCTAAACCTTGCACTGCCCAAGAAGAAACAGTAAGATGTTTGAGATCACCTTTATCCAGTTCCCCAATAAGTCCCTTTAGCAACCACTCACCTTCACTATAGAAACCCCCGAGCCAATATTCACCAGCAGGTAAGGGAAAATGTTTGGGTGGTTTGTCTGGAACCGGAATTCCGTGTCCGAGTCCTTCTGGTAGGCAAACACTTCATGGGGGATGTTCCTCAGCACAAAGTTGCACCCCTTAATTAGGCAGGTCATTACATCTTCCTTATCAACCCTGAGGGGGAGGAAGAGCCTCAGGTCAGTGTCCCAGCCCTGCTGATAAACCCGTTTGCTTTTGCAGCAGCAGTTCACCCACAACTCCCAAACGGGGATTTCACAGCGGGTGGCAGAAGGCCAGCTCCCTGAGACAGGAATCCTGCTCATCCCAGTGCTGCCCTCCCGGCCAGGCTGGAGTTGTGTTACACAGTAACTGCACTCATGCTGTCCCTACAAATAATGCTGCCCCTCTCTGGCTCCTGTCCTCCCTCCTGCCCTGTCCCTGCACCGCTGGAGAAAGTAGGTCAGGAAGCTGAGCTGGACATCAACCTAAGGAAACAATTCCCCACCATGGATTAATCGTCTAGTGCTCTTCCCCTGCCTTCTAATAAAGGACAAAAGGCCTCCTCAACATTTCAGCACCTGCTTAGGACAGATCCAAGGGACTGTGGGGAGCCTACAGCTGGGATTAGCAACCACAGGAGAAGAGACTGCTCACAAGAGCAGCAGGATTCACAACAGGCCATATCCCGAGGCAGGAGTCTGGGAATGGGATATGTGGTTTAGATAAGATGAATGATAAGTCAGCTACCACTTAGTGACTTCTGTGTCTATGTACTGCCACTGACTTATGGGAAATTCTTACATGAAATGCCATAATAATAATAATGGCCAGTCTTCGCGAGCGAAGATCCGGGGAAGGTCTTTCCACCTTCCAGCCTGCGCATTGGATTTTTTAGGTGAGACACAGTGTGCGCGGAACTGAGCCCACCCTTTAATCCTAAGGTTCATCTGCCGGGGCCAAGCGAGCTTGGACGGTGGCAGCGAGGTCCTCAGGACGTAGGTGGGTTGCCTTTAAGGGCTAACGAGCCCCACCTGCCCGGGAGTGGCCCTGACCGGGAATCGAACCCGGGTCTCCGCGGTGATAGCGCGGCGCCTTTACCCCCTAGACCACCAGGGGCTCATGAAATGCCATAAACCCTGTGGAAAACACACAGACACACCTCGGTGACTACAGAATGCTCTGTGAGTGTCAGGGTGGAGAAGGTGCTGCTGTCTGGGGACCAACTCAGAATCTCATCACCACATGAAAACCAAAACCAGCAGGAGAAAAGAAGGGAAATTGCCTGTTTGTCATGATTAATTGATCCTTGTCTTGAGTAACCGCTAAGTTAGTAACAGTCAGTAAGGTACTGATGTGGGCTGGTGTGAACAAAAGTTACCAGAATCCCACCTATCAGGAGAAGAAAGTAGTTTGCACAGGCAGTGAGAAAGCAGCTGAGCACAGACCCTCAGGGGATGAGGAATGCACTGCACAGGATCACGGCCTTGAAGTTCCCCCCAGTAACACCAGGTAGTGTTTAATACTGGGGTAAATTAATGGCATTTTTTTCTATAATTGCAGTAGAGTTTTAGCATATGGTGTTCGATATTGCTGTTTGAACAGCGAATTTCTGATCTGCAAATTCATGGGGCTGCCCTCTAGCCTCCTGTAAGCCTGTGCATGGAGTTTAGGTAGGAGGTATACAGTGACTGTACCACATTAGTTCATTCTGAGCATGCCCAGGAAAATGTTAGAAGCTTTTGGAGTGGGAGGAAGTCAAATCCTTCATGGAAAAGAGCTGGGATAACGCCCTGCTTTCCTCTCTTCCCTGCCCCCTGTGAGCTGGCTCAGCTCCTGCCCTCCCTCTGTCAGCCCCTGATACTGTTATCTCGGGGCAGCTCCTGCCCTGAGCCAGGGCCGGGCACAGCCCTGCGGGGTGTGGGTGGCAAAGGGAAGGTTGGCCTCTAAAACCTCCCCAAAGAAGGAGTACATTCCTGTAACTGAGTTTAAACGGTTCCACTTACTTCAACCCCAACTTCTTCTCAATAAGATCTTTGAATTTATAGGCACCACCACCTGTAGCTTTGATGACTTTTGTCTCTGTATTGACAAGATGGTCTTTGATGAAATCTAGGCAGGTTTCAATGTAAGTGTTCTCAAATTTAATGAAGTGAAGTCGAGCTGTGATCTCTTCCTGAACAGATATTTCATACAAAGGTTCATTTTCTATGTCCTTTAAAAAAGAAAAGAATTTCTTAGCGATCTTTGAGAAACAAGGTTAAATGCTAAACTACTGAACATCAATACTTGTGCTTTTTTCCCTTCAAACCATGTTAATGCCATTAAACATAACACACAAAGCTCTGTCAGAGAAGGGCAGAGTTTCACAGGTCTTCATTCTCCTTAGGCTGAGATAATCAATTCTCCCATGCACCAGACAAGCATGAAACCTCTCTGGATGACAGAAGTTATGTCTATGTAGGAGTAGGGGTTTTTTACCACTCTTACCTGTCTGGGAAATAACTATTTCAAACACTACCTGGCAATACAAACACTTCCAAGAAGTTTCATATAGAACAAGTTATTAAGTGGGTTTTGGATAAGATTTCTGTTCTCCCCTGAGAAGCCAGTCCAGCACCTCACTCTCGTGAGTCAACCCCCTGCAGCTGATCCCTGCTGGAATTCTCACCTTTCCAGAGTGATCAAAGGATCTCACTCGTGCCACTTTGTGCTGCACAGTTGAATAATAAGCCAACTTGGTTAATGAGCCACCTGTTCACAAAGAGATGACACGTTATGATTAATGCCTCACCTTAAACCACAGAACTTATGTCAGAGTTCTTGGCTTTCCAGGTCTCCTCAGGTAAAGCCAGATACAATTAAGGTAAGTGCAGTGAGCCAAAGAAGCCCAGGCCTGGTTAACCCCCAGTGCCCCACGGAGGGAAAAGCTCCACCCGCTGAACTTGTGCCCAGTGGTGTGGGATGACTGAGGGTGAGCAGGGCAAGTTCTTAATCAGCCAGGCTGGTGCATGTAATGCCACGATTAACCTCGTCCACAAAGTTTCTGGAACCCCCAGATCTGCTGCTCACAGGAGGGTTGTCTCAGTGGTTTTGCCAGAGCTCAGCAATGAACCCTCGTGCACAATCAGTGTTTCAGCAGCAACACTTCAATAATATCCCTGTAATACTCTTAGCCCAGGACAAGTCTGCAAGTTCGTGGCTGGATAGAAGGTGACTCTGAGTGTACTGAGTAACTATTTTGCAAGGCTGCTCTTGGCTTTGGGGTAAAGAATGTTCAGAATGGTGTTTCTCAAGCCCAAAAGTGCAAGTCTGAGCAGAGCAGCGTCATCACCCTCTTCAGGCCTTGAGTCTGCTCATGGCAATAAAACTTTCAACTCTCCCCTGGAAACAGAACTCAGCCCCTTGGCCTGTCTTTGAGATGTAAAATTGAATTTCTGAAGTTACACTGAGTAACTTCAGTGTTTTCCACCACACTGCTGAGTGTTCCAGGCCTGAGGGTAACTGTGACCAGTTACTGGGTTAATGTTAAAGTCCTGAAGGTAAATAAAAACCTGGCAATGTCAGATCCTAAATAATGGTTAAATGTGGTGGCACTGCACTCTGTGCCTTATAATGATCAGGAAACAAATGACAACCCCTTGTGCTGATGATGGCTTTGCCTTCATGACAGCACTGTCAGCTCTTCCTCAGTGCTCCAATATTTTTATTAGGAAAATATTTGCAACATGTAGCCCGTGTTTGCTTTTTTTTTTTTCCTGACAACTTGAAGTGAGGCCAATGCAGAGCGACCAATGACAGACACTTAATAGTTGCAAAGCCAATAAAGCTTCCCTGCCCTGGGCTCTGATTTCAGTGTGCCAGCCAATGCTTCGGAGCTTCTGGTAAACAAAATGCACAGGCCGTTCTGCTGGTTCAGTGTGTAAAGGTGAGGGTGCTCTCAGCTTCCTTCCACCCCTCCGGGCCGAGGAATCACAAAGGATTGTTGGAATGTCACTTCTGTACAACACTGGCAGTGACACAACTGCTCCAGCGGTTCCCTCATCACCAGATGCATGGCCTGCAGGGCCATGCTTTATCCATTATCCCCTTCCTCTCCCAGTTTTTAAAGACTTAAATCCATGCAGAACACCAGCTGAGACATGTTGCCAGGTTTTATAACTAATCCCACAACTCTAATTCCGTGCTGACCCGCAGAAAGGGCCAGTTCCAGCTGTTATTTTAACAGCAGCTTCTGAAGGAGGGAAGCCGAGCAGACAGGTGACATGACAAGGTTGTTTATTGTGGTGCAGGTTTCCTTCCCACCCCGCAGTGAGTCTCCAGCACACGGAGCACTGTTAACCTGAGGACTCATGCCTTTTTCTTTTTTTTCTTTTTTTTTTTCCTGGCCTTTCTCCTCAATAGTTCGACTGACCTTGTAGCTGTAAAACAGAAGCAAAACGTGCGACCCGGCACCAGTGTGGGTGTGCAGGGAATGGCCGCTAATCCCTGCCCGGGTGAGCCTGTCCCCAGGCACTCAGGTGTCACCTGCCGCGTGTCCCCGTCCCTCGGCCCGGGACGTGCACATCGGGGCTGCTGTGCGCTCGGGGATAACGCGGGGGTTTTGGGGTGCCCGAGGCAGCTCCTGCTCCCCGCCAAGCCCCGCAGCCGCCCGGGCCGTGTCACCGCCGCCCTCCCCGGCCCTTTTCGCCTCTTCCCGGCCCGTTCCAGGCTCAGGGCCGGGGTTCGGCCGGGGGGCTCCGCACTCGGGCCTGGGGCGCTCTGAAGGGGCGCAGCCGCCGCCCCCCGGTCCGGCCGAGCTCCCCCCATTCCGCCGTCCCCGGGCCGGTCCGGCAGAGCCTCCCCCAGGTCCCGGTGCCCCGAGCGGGTCCGGCCGAGCCCCCCGTGCTCTGCCGGTGCCCCCGCCCGCCAAGGGCAGCCCCGGCCGGGCCGCCCTGCCCGCGGCCCGTTACCCGCGCGGGGCCCGCCGGGAGCTGTAGTTCCGCTCCCCGACCGCTCCGCGCCGGCGGCGGCCAGCGGGACTGTAACTCCCGCCGTGCTCCGCGCCGCCCGCCCCGCCGCGCGGCCCGCCGGGAGCTGTAGTGCGTCCCCTGCACCGCGCCATTCCCCGTGCGTCGCCGTGGACTACAAATCCCAGCGTGCCCCGCGCACGCCACCCCGGTGGGTCCCCTCAGCGGGGCCGCAGCCGCCGCCCGTCCCCCGCCACCGCCCCCTCCTCTGCGCCCCCACCCTCCCCCACGCCGCCCGGTTACCGATGTCAATGGCGAAGCGCTTGGCGTTCTCCAGGTTGCGGAAGATCTCGTCGGGCGGGAGGGTGATGCTCTTGTCCAGGCTGCCGTGGCCGCCGCCGCTCCCGCGCCCGCCGCGCTCCGCCATTTTGAACGCGACCCGCTCCCTCCCTCACCGCGGCCTCATCGTGTATGCAAATGTATGCGCATAAATCTGCATACTAATGAGTCCGGGGCGCGGGATGTGCGGGGGCTCCGCCCACCGCGGAGGGGCGGGGCTTGAGGGAGAGCGTGGGGGACACGGGGGGGACACAGAGACCCCCGGGATGGGGGGACACAGACACGGAGAGACCCCCGGGATAGAGGGGGACACAGACACGGAGAGACCCCCGGGATGGAGGGGGACACAGACACGGAGAGACCCCCGGGATAGAGGGGGACACAGACACGGAGAGACCCCCGGGATGGGGGGACACAGACACGGAGAGACCCCCGGGATGGGGGGGACACAGACACGGAGAGACCCCCGGGATGGGGGGACACAGACACACCCCGGGATGGGGGGACACAGAGACCCCCGGGACAGAGGGGGACACAGACACAGAGAGACCCCCGGGATGGGGGGACACAGACACAGAGAGACCCCCGGGGTGGGGGCAGAGACACTCCTCGGGGTGAGGGAGGGTGGGGAACGGGCACAGAGACCCCCGGGGGGAGCTGTCAGGGCCAGGACACTGCTGGACACGCAGAGATAATGGAGCAGCTCCACATGGATCCCCCTCAGCCAACCTTCCCTAATTTTAATTAAGGGATATTAATCCGAATATTCTGTGACCTGGGCGCGTCCCCAGGAACATGGAATGTGCCATGGAGTGCCTTGGGAAACTTTCCCTCTTAATCAGAGGCCCTCTCTGTGTTTGGTGTCCCTGCCTGTGACACGGGGTCAGAACTAGGTGGTCTCTGAGGCCCCTCCCAACCAGAACCATTCCAGGATTTTGGGAGTCAGGCATAAGTGTTCCCGAGTTCACCCTTGCAGTGACCTTTCTTGGCTCTGAATTCCCGAGGAATTGGCTGCTCGGGCATGCTGCTATTTTTGTCTGGCACTGAGGGAGCTGGGGTTGGATGTTCCCGAGCTCTGGATCCTCTGCTGTGGAAAACAGCATTGCAAGGGCTCCTGATGCACACAGAACTGGTGGGGAAATTCAGTGGCAATCCTGAATATCTTTGCCTTCACTGAAATCTGCCTCATGCCCATTGACCACAGGGAAAGCAGCTGTAAAAACTACTCAAATAAAAGAGAATAACTTCGAATTTATGTACCAGGTTTTTATTTATTCTTGAGCATTAAAAGTTTCTGAAGTTCAGCATAACTCTGACACAGGTTTATACATCGGTGCAGCTCGCACAGAACATGTCACAACATCCTCCAAGGACAGTAAGGAATTCCCATTTTCCCCTGGTAAAAGGGTACCCAAGAGTAAATACAATTTATACACCCGCCTTTCACGAAAGACTTTGATAAACATTCCTTGTAATCTCGGCAGCTCGGCTGTAACTTTCTCTCCTATAAGGACATAAAAACGAGCTTCAGCCTTTACAAAAGGCACACACACACACACATCCTGAACCTCACAAACAGCCCTGGTCTGTGAGCAAGACATTCCGAGGAATTTCCTCTACATCGTTTGGGTTGTGGTTTAACCATTTCCAGAGCACGCCCAGCACAGACTATAAATGTTATAGAACCCCTGATGGCACCGTGGGAAGGGCAGATTCCCAAATGTGTCCAATGAGCTGCTCTGAGATCCCCCCAGCTCCAGCCACACTCAGGTGTGGATACCCCGGGACACTCAGAGGAAAAGGCTCCTCCTGAACGGACACTTTTGGGAATTCTGTCCTGCCCACCTCAGCTTTCCCAGCAGGTGTACACGGACAACCTCACAGAGGTTAAGAACAGCCGTCGTTCCTCTCCGAACGACCCTTCCCAGCCCTCCCAGCAGGAGGATACAGCTCACATTCCCTCGGAACAACTTTCTCTCCACGCGGTGGGATCATCCCGGTCCTTCTGGAAGAAGGGAAGCAACTCATCCAAGCAGAGCAACGCTCTGCAAAAGGGAAACATTCTTCCCTACTCGTGAGAGGAGTGGGGGGACTTGTCCAGCAAGTCAGGGGCTCCTCTGGAATACCAGCAAATGTCCAGGGATCATGGAAGTGGGATGGTGAACTGCCAAGGCCTCCGGAGGCTGCGGGAGGGAGTGGATGCTGTGGGTTTGGCAGGGGGAGAACCGGAGTCCTCAGGTGCTGGTTGTGATCCCTGGAAGGGGTAGCTGGGCTCCATCCGTGTTTCCGTGCCGGTGGAACGGGGATTGCGGGGCTGCTCCGAGGCTCTGGGTGCGATGATCCTGCCGAGGATCGGGCCGGGCGCTGGGAGGGCAGAAGGGAAGGGTTACACTCCGGCTGGAGCGTTGCCTGGCGAGCAGGGCACGGGGTGTGCTGGGGGTACTCACCTCGCCCGTGTTTCGGGGGGCTCACAGCCATCCCCTGGACGTCTCCTTTCCCCAGCTGGGGGTCGGGCTGGTGCCTCTGCCCCCCTTCTCCAGGAGCAGTTCCAGCGGCCCCAGGCTGCTGTAAATCCCGTGCCCAGGCGGCTCCCGAGCTGTAACACAGAAGGGGAAGGGGCCGTGAGCAGTGGGGCTCCCCCTCCCCAGCTCCTACCCCCGACCGGGGCCGGCCCTGCTCGCTCGGAGATACTCACTCTGTGCTTCCCTGGGCTCTGGAATTCCCGGGAAGAGCGCTCCGGGTGCCGCCGTCCCGAGCGCTGCCGGGCTCGGGGTGGAGCGGGGAGCGGCATCTCCCCTATTTATACGCGGGGCCCGCATACAAATGTCTGGGGCCGCAGCGACTCGGAGGTTCCCACAGTCCGCAGCCAATCCCCGCGCGGCCGGGACAATGGGAAAGCATCCATTACAGCGTGGCAAATCGACTGTGAATCGCCTGGGGATAATACCCTGCTCCCAGAGGAGCAGGTGGGCTGGGGAGCGTGGGACACAATGGGGATTGGCACCGCGGCGCTGCGGAGGGAACGTGGGAAAGCGTTCGCCGGCATTATCACCCAGCTCCTGCCCGGTGCTGGGAACGGCGGCACCGCGCTGCCGATTCCCAGGCTGTGCTGAAACTAAGCACCGAAAACTGATCCCAGGAGGAGATAATGCTCTGTGCCCAAAGGAGAGGCTGAAAGGGAAAAGATGCAGAATTAGAGGGACTAAAGCCTTTCACTGACATTAAACCGTGCTTATATGAATACAGTACCAGATAATTTTCAGGCAACAAGAGACTAAAATTGAGGGAAGAACCCTTCAAGCAGTTGGTGCAAAGCAGTTAGCCTGAAATATTTTCCTCTCCATTGTTTAAAGCCCCTCTATAAGTTATATCAAGAGCTCTTCCTTGCTTTTGTTCGGGTAATCTGGGCTTTCCTACAGCAGCCCGTGACATGTAATGATCAGGATGCCTTTCCTAAACATGTCCTGTTTCATTTCATGCCACTTTGTAAATGCCTCACTGTTCCCTTGGTCCTGAGTCTCCAACTAAATATATTTCCCCTCTACAGACAGCTGAGATGGAGTGAAAAGTCGATTCTTGTCCCTTGCTTTGCTGTATTCTCCCCTTGCAGAATGTGACCCAGGTGTGAGGCCACCCTGTGCCCCTGTTCAGTCCTGGCCCTGCTCATCTCTGTGCCACGTGTGCTCAGGCAGGGAAGGGGAAAGGACCAGGCAGGGTCCTGGACTGAAGCTCCCTTTTTGAGATACTTTTTTCCCAGGTTAAGGTGCCTGCTCAGGTCTGCTGCCTCCTCCCAGCACAACCCAGTACAAAGCCAGTCACCTTCCAGATCTGTCAGCCAGGTATATGAGGCCTCATGTAGCTTTTGAATGCCTGTTTCTTACCACTACAACACTGATGAAAACTCTACTCATTTCCTATGTCAAAAAAACAGAAGGGAACCCTCTCATTTCCCTGCCAGCCACAGTCAGCCTGTTCCACCTGCCTTCAGCATCCTCTGGACAACCCAGACTGTGTCTGTGGGTACATGGACAGAAAGGTGTTCCAGCACTCAGAGGGTTGTTGAATAAAAAGATACAGTCCTGCAAAGGATGATCCTGTGACTAATTATCAACCTGAAGCTTTTAAAGGCCCTTTTTACTGCCTGGATTCTAATGGAGTTCCATGGGTCAGCTGTTCTCCCTTCCCAGCCCAACAGCGTTTCAGGTGGATCACTTAGGGTACAGCAATTTAAATTCTCACTGGTTGTCAATCAACTGTAATCGAACAAGGACTCTGAGTACCAATTCAAAATGAGTTCTTTCAATTACTTTGTCAGCTTGTAGTCAGCATTATTCCTCGGAGCCAGGGCAATCCCTGCCTGTTCTTGAGCTGTTGCTGGAGCTGGGAGCGCATCCAGGGCCTTCTGGATCCCTCCCGGGGCCACGTGGGCTGGAAGGGCCAGCAGGTCCCGCACGCACCGTCTGGGAAGGAGGGAGGCTCTGACCCAATTTTCAGCGCTGGAAATACGGAACGAGCGGTTTTAAATAAAGCCACGCCGTCCCCAGCACAATGCCGCGGCCTCCAAAGGGCTCCAGCAGCTCCGGTGATTAAAGCCTGATCCCTGGCGCGCAGGGCCGGGCAGATGGTGCCGCGGGCTGTCCCGGGCCCTCCAGGCACACGCCTTTTGTCCGCAGTTTAACTCCCTCAATGGGCGACGTGGGAAACGCCGGGAGCTGTGGGCTCTCCCCATCTGATGGGGATGGGGCACCAGGCACACACAGCACAGCCCAGCTTCTCCCTCTCTCTGTCCCTTGGAAAGGCACCACTGATCTTCCATCCCCGCCATGCCTGCCTCACCTTCCCTCTGAGAGGAGGTGAGAGGAACAGATATTCCCCCTTTGGTTCGGTTGGTAAGACCTGAAAACTCAATGGCAATGATATTTCCCGACTGAGGCTTCAGAATAATGACTTATCCAGACTGAGGCTGTCCCTACGGGATATTCCTTATGGGGCTGGGTGCAGTAGGCACTTCCTGCAAGGATTTCAGGAAGAATTATGCTGTGCTGCAGTCCAGTTTTGTTAAAAGTCTGTGACCAGTTTGCTCAGTTTGGGCTTTTTTAAAAATTCATCTCTTACTGCAACAGTCTGTCCCACTGGAACATGTTGGGGGTCCAAACCCTGGTCACTGTGCTCCACTTCCATGGGAAGAGTTTGTGGCTCTCGGACTGTCTGGGGCTGGCTCAGAAACAGGGTTGTTATCCCTGTTTGGGGAATGAAGGATTAAAAGAGACAAATCCTCAAAACTCCCAAACATGGAGTTGAGTGAGGAATGTGACACAATAATTCCCTTCTCAGGAGGGTGGTGTGAGATCGGGAGCTGCTCCTGAGAGGGGACAGCAAAGCCCTGAGCCTGTGGTGGGATTGCTGTGAGCTGAGGAACAACCATCCCAAACCTGTCCTCGTAGGCTGGTGTCCGTGGCAGTCCATAAATCCAAGCAGCTGGAGGTGCCCCAGCCTGAGGAGTTGGTACTGGGCCTTTCTGCTCCTGGTCTTGGGGCAGTGATTTCCACCCAGGTGCAGATTGCTGCACACACTCTGCACAGAAGCTGCTCCTGGTTTAACACCAACTGGCAGCTTTCTTAGCCCTTCTGATCCACAGCTTTCCGTGGAGGCAAACCCAGCATGTTGCAATGCAGCAACAGGTCTGGAGGGAGGAGAACTGTCAGGAGAGAGGACAGAAACCCACAATTTCACTGTCTATGTTATGCAGATTTGAAAAGCAGCGTCCTGCACCTCCGTGGCTGTGCGTCCAGCTTGTACCAATTTCAGGGCATTTTTATTTTAGACCATTTCCTACATTCATGTCAGCCTGTCTCCCAGATGCTATTGACGGTGTTTTTAAAGAAATAATTACGATTTTTACTTTTTTTTTTTTTCCCCCTCTCTGCCTTCCTTAAATGGTTTAAAATCTTTCTGACAGCCCCTCTCAAGACACCTATTTAGTGTCAAAGAGCATAACATTCCCAAGTTTTAAAAGAGTCCTCGAATAATACTGATCGATCAATGTGCTCCTTGGGAAAATAGCTCTCCAGATGGTCCATCGGGACAGGAATTGCCGGTCGGCACAATGAGGAGCCAGAGAGCGGCACTAATGCGGGCTGTTGTGAGGCACACGCTGCCTTTGTGCCCCTCTGAATGCCCCAAATGGGGAAGAAAGTGTGGGAAACTCCGAGAAACTCAGGCCCACACTCTGAGGTTAATAGGGGCTTTGTCAGGAGAGTATTCCTGAGCTGTGGGATCAGCATAATAAACAACATCTCCCCTAAGGGTGGGAATGTGTTGGAGCAGGGGAGGGTCGCCCCAGGGGACGGGGAGGGAGGGATAAGAAGCTTTGAGTTCAATTATGAGAAGTGATAATAATTAATAAATTGTAAACATACCCTTTGCCGGGCTGGGGCTGGGGTCTGGCTTTTAGCTCGAGGGGTAATTGGTGAATTAAGGCCCAGAGGGGCAAGTCTGTGGCTGATGAAAAGCAGAAGGGGAGCGTTTGCAGCGGGGTGGATCTGATTCCCTGGAGCAAAGGGAGCCTTTCCGGAGGGGTTTGGTCCCATCCTGCTGCCCAGGAGGAAGCACTGGCTGTTCCTCTCCCTCCCACCGTGTTGAACACCCTGCAGTGGTGCTGTGGGGGGACACCCACACCGCGTTTGGGGGCAATCCCATCCCCACAGGGGCAGCAGCCTCTCCGTGCCACGTGTGACTCTGCTCCCAGTGGGGCACAGTCAGGATGGGGTGGGCTTTGGGGCACATGGCATTCCAGCTGAGTCTGAACGCGCCCAAACCGCCCTAATTAGGCTTGATTTAAAAACCCCCAGGCATGTACAACAGCTGGAGTTTTGCTGGGATTCAGAACGTTGTACTAATTGACAACGACAAGTTGAGCACAGCGAGGCAAAGTGACTTTTTCAAGCTTGCTAAGCAACCACAAAATCTAAAAATATCTCTTCTGAATTATTTAGCACTTCATTAGGAAGCAGAAATTACCTGCAGCATTGGTAGAGACCTGTACCAAAGCCTACCTGGCAGAGAGGTGAGGAGCACTCAACCAGCTTGTGCTTTCAGGGCAAAGGAACAACCAAAATGACCCCTGAGCCGTGATGAGGCAGAGCAGCACGTTCCTCACCCAGCTGTCTGGCTTTTTGGGGGGCTTGCTGTGTTGATAAGAGAGGGTTTCATCACAAGCCAAACAAGGACTGGCCAGGCACAGCCAGCAGGGCTGGGATGAGTTTGATTGTGTCACCTTAGCAGATCTGAGGCTGCTCCCGGCTTCACTGAGCAGCTTTGACAGGATCAGGTGTTCATTGTTTCCTTTTATTTAGGAAAAAACCCTTATTCTAGAAATGAAGCTTTTCAAGGGCACCTCTCCCAGGGAATCTGAGGAGGGCTGAGTTGTTGAGCAGTGGTGTTTCATGCTGGTCCTGTATCTCTGTACAAATGAGAAGGTTCCCTGTCCTGTACCCAAATCAGTGTGTTACTGTGGCTAGAGAATAGTTTTGTGAACTGATTATTTGTGCAGATTTACTCTACTTCGAAGAGAAGGGAAAATAAGAGGAAATACTTTAGGAGAGGAAACGCTTTTCAGCCTCTGCTGTCTAATTATGGAGACTTCCAGCCCCATGTGGGCATATTTCCCTTCAGTGAAGGGAACAATTCTGCTATTGCCTGGCAGAATTAGTGTCATCAAATTAAAAGACAACAAAAAGTAGTTCACCCCAGTGCAGGTGGCTCAAAGAAGGCAAGTTCCCCAAGAAGGGGCAAGTGCCAAACTCTTTGGAAGTTACTGGGAGATTTCCCTGATGCTCCCTCATAAACGGGCAGAAAGTACAAGACTGAGCTCAGCTTGGTGGGCAAATTAATGGGGGAGGTGAAGTGGCTGTGAAATTAGGGATTTGTTTAAGGCTGAATGGGTTGTTGTCAAGTCTGAAAGGTTGACACCTCTCAGCACCTCACTGCAGCTTCACCTCCATTTTGATTTTTGATAATTTTCCCAGAGGTTGCTGCTCTACAGGATCTGAAATCCTGCTCTGCCAAAGGGATTTCACAGAGATAAAGCACTGTGACACCTCCTGATGGCTTCCCCACTGCAGGAGAGTCTGCATGCACCCAGTCCAGCAGGATTAACCATTTGAATCATTTCAAACCAAAGGATTAATGACTAAAACCATTTTTATTGTATGGCACAGTGAAGACACACAAGTTGGACATCACACAGGATGAATACATTACAACTTTATAAAAGCTATTTAAGCTCCTTAGCATGTTCAGGGAATGATTACAAAGTACTTATTGCCTCCCTTCCTCCCCCTTTTCCTCAAGGTATAGCTCAGGTATTTCCTTTACAAAAGGCATCAATTATCCCTCGACTGAGAGCAGCACAAAGTGACATGAAGAGAATTTTCCCCAGAGCTACCTGTGATCAGCACAGCTCTGTGAGGACACTAAAAATAGCAGAGGAGCTTCAGAAGAGCCAGCATTTCTCAATAACATCTTTCACTCAAAAGGTAAAGGCTCAGTCCTCTCTTTATGACACAAAATACATTCTCCAAAGGGCTCCTTCTTGAGGAAGGTCAGTACATTACCAGGAGACAATGGAGCACTTGAACCAGTGACCCTGGGAGTCAGCAGAAGGATTTCCACTGACAGCCACAGGCTCGGCAGCCTCTGATGGAAACCGAGGGCATTTGCTCTGAAATCACCACAGAACCTGGTCCTGTCTTTGGCCAGGAGCCACCAATAAAAGCAACAAATTTGCTGCAAGGAACACCCACAGTCCTTCACTATGAAGGGAAACCACCCAGCGACCCTCATTTCTGGTGACAGAAAAACAATAACAGCCCCCTCCCACCTTTGGAAAGCAACGTTTCCTACTTTAAAGAGGAACTAACAAACCACAGGTCCCTCTAGTTTTTGTAGCAAAGCATGGGAACAGAGTTCAGCAGGTCTACCAGGGCCTCCAGAGGGTGGGAGCGGCAGCCAGGCTCTTCTGGGCAGGCAGTTTTCTGGGAAGCACGCAGGGAGACAGGGGGGAGCTGCGCAGGGCAGGGGGGTACGAGGTGTCTGAGCCCAGCTGGGCTCTGCAGAAGTGCTTGATGAGCTGGACCTGGGTCTCCTTCTTGGGCTCGTAGTAGGACAGAAAGTGCATGGCCTCCTTGAGGCACCGCAGGTACCCGCTGTTAAAGTCCTGCTCGGGGCTCTTGTGGGTGAATGCTGGAAGAGGAGGAAAGAATAAACACAGTGGGTTAAGATTACAACCAAAAACACGGGACACTGGTGATCTGAGCAGTGGGTTTCTTTCAGGAGCCCACGAGCCCTGCTCGTGTGCCTGGAGCTGGGGTGTCCCAGCCCTGGGGGGCAGGGCCAGGTGTGCAGTACCTGCTCTGCACTCACTTTGCTCCTGCAGCTGGCTCTGCTGCTTCAGGTAGCTCACAGCCACTTCCAGGATGTCGGCTTTCTCCAGCTTGGAGTTGGGCTGATGCCTCTGGAACTCCTTCTCCAGGAGCAGTTTCAGCTGCTCGATGCTGCTGTTGATCCGGTCCCGGCGCATTTTCTCCACCACCGGCTTCCTCAGCTGGGGAAGATGGAGCACATCCTCAGGGATTTCGTGAGGCCTGACCCCCTTTCCCCCCGATGCCCTGATACTCGTGTTCAAAGATGCTTTCATTTCGTAGAAGAGCTGTGAGATGCTGCCCACCCATTCCCTACTCTATTTAATTTTAAAAAATCATTATAATCTCCTTTATCTCTCTTTAACCTACTTGCCTTCCCCCAGACCACTTTCTCCCCCTTATCCCATCTATTCTCATGTCCTGTTTATTTGCTAGGGGCAAGCCAGCCTTTCCAGTCCTCTCAAGGGCTCCACTTACTTTATTCTTTTCCTTTGGCAGCAGTTTCTCCTCCATGTGGATCATGAGGGTGTTGCTGGGAGCCATCCCGGGAGCTCTCAGCTGGGCACAGACCCCGCTCAGCTGCCGTGCTGATGCTTTGGCAGCTCCCAAGTGCCTGTATTTATAGCAGGGAGCCGGGGCAGATACGTGAGTGTGGGGATGGCCGGTGTTTCCCACAGCCCTGCAGCCAATCCAGGCAGGCAGCGGGACAATGGGGGAAGCATCCATTAGTGCACGGTACATTGGCTGCCAATGCCCCGGGGAGAATAACCTTCTGCCCACGCTGCTGGTGGAGTGTGCGGCGTGGGGAGCTGGGAAAGCACCGACCCTCCAGCTGGTCGGGGATCAGCGGCATTCCCGAGGCCCCGCATGTGCCGGCAGTGGGGAAGGCGGGAAAGGGCCACGAGGAGGCCTGGTGGGGATAAAATCAACATCACCAAGGGCATCCCTGCCCTTCCCAGAGCGGGGGCTTTGCAGCTGGAGCGTGTGTGTGGGGTGTGTCCATACAGCACGGCAATGGGGGACCCAAAGCGTGACCAGTGTGCAGCCCCAGGGTTGTTTGCAGCGCATTTTCAAAGCTGTGGAGAAGTGACAGTCAGGGTGCTGGGGTGTTGGATGGATGGGATGAATAATGGGAAGCAGTGGGAATAGTAACCTCAGTCTCGCTCTTCCCCTGAACACAGCGGGCTCTGTGAGTGTTCCCACTGCCCCCAGTAAGGAAGCAGATCTGGGCCATGCCTACCACCCCACAGCTCTTGCTTTTCCCTTTCCCCCTCTCTCTCTTTCATACAGACATTTATGGGGATGATGGTTAAGATGGGCTGAGGAATAGCACCAAGTTCAGCCTGGAATCCTGGGAAGTCTTGGGAAGCCAGAGGTGTGTCATAAATGGGATTCAGCAGCTGAGGCCCATCTTTGGCCCTCAGTGAGGTTGTGCTTCTTGCCTGAGGTTCCTGCTGTGCCCTGTTCTGCCCTTGGACCTGCTGCAGTGCTGAACATCAGATCTCAGAGACCAGTCTCTGCCTCCCTGTGTAAACCTTCCTGTGTCATTCCCACTCCGTTTCCTAATGTGGAAAATGGGGACAGAGCTGCTTGCTTGCATTGGCATGGAGATGTCGGTATGAATTAGGCAAACACTTCTTTTGTGATAGAGGCAAGGAAAGAATGAAGCTGTGAGGGCACTGGAGGTCAGTTCTGATTTTGTCTTATGAGAGAAAGCTCTGCCTGGATACGGTCCTTGAGGCAGCACTGAAAATAACCCAGAACCTACCTGGGAAAAGCTGTGCTGCACCTGCCATCTGTGGGTCCAGCCCCAGGCAGAGGTGTGTGCTCCTCCTGCTCCTCCTGCTCCCAGCACGGAGCGTGGCCGAGTTTCTGGGCACGGAAAGGGAGGAGGGAAGTGTGCAGGGAGGTAAGAAAGCCCAAGAGTTTCTTCCTTGGAAATCCTGCAGTGAAGCCCGAGGGTAATGGGCAGTTGACAGGAAGGAGGGAGGTGTCACTGGAAGAGCCAGGGATTCATTGTGCTGACCTGAATGGGCTCAGCGCTTTGTGAAGGGCAGATGTTGTCCTTGGAGCCCTTTATTCCCTGTGTTGTGGGAAAGCCAGGAGACAAGACATCTCATGAACACTTTGAAGCAGCCAAAGGATTATGACACAAAATAAGACACAGCTCAGAGACCATGCCCCAGCTCCTCCAGCTCTAATGAGGTGTTGCCTGTTTCCCTGAGCTCCTTGGCTGGCCTTCCTCCAGGAGCTGGTATCCCACGTTATCCTTTTCCTGGCAGGGGAGGAATGCTGGCCAGGAGCTGACAGGTAGGCACGGACCAAGCTGGTTGAAGAGACTCTTCAGTGTCAAACCCCATCTTTTTCCCAGCTCCTGAGAAGCAGCCCTGACCTTTATTGCTGTTAGAACTGATAGCCAGATGGTCTTTTGGGAGTTGGATTCTTTCCCTTTAAATCATTCAGGCTCAAGCACCGTCACTAATGTCGGGAGTAGTTGCAAGGCACACTTCTATTGTCCCAGCAAGAAGTGTTATCAATGGGGGAAGAGTATGGGAAAGGCAGAGAAATCCAAACCCACACAGCCTGGCGCTAATGACTGCTTTGTGGAGCTGCTGCTGCCGGAGCACCACGGACTCTGTGGCTTCTTCACCCAGGAAGGCTCAAACGCGCCTCTTTCTCCATCCAGGGGCTTCTCCCAGATCTGTGTGTACCAGGAGAAAGGGGCAAGGGGCAGGGACAGTGGGTCACACCCAGGGGTGGCTCCAGGAGCTGAGCTGAGCTGCAGCACGGGCTGTCCCGGGGCTGCTGGTTTGCTCCCCTGGGCCTCAGTTTGCTCTCCTGGGACATGGGAGAACTTTTCCATAGAGCCCTGTTGGGATTGGGAGCTGCCCCGCGCCTGTGGTGGGAGGCAGGGACAGGGCTGAAGTGGCCCTTGTTCTTCTCTGGCATCACCTGGGGACAGTGCTGGGCACCCTGGAATGAAGAGCAGGGCTGGGCACTGCTCCTTGGCACTGCAAGTGCTCAGGTGGCCCCTTCTCCCTGTCTTGCAGAGGAGTTTCTTTGTTCCCCTCCTGTTGGGAACATTGCTGGGAAGGCCTTTTTCCCCAGGGAAACGGAAGGGTTGTTAGGATCAAGCCAGCTCTGCTCTCACTTGAAGGGTCATGTGCTGGTGGCAGCAGCACTGGGGGGGAACAGCAGCAAAGAGAGCACCTGCCAGGTACCCAGGTACACACACCTGAGTGGGAATTGTTATCTTTGGATGCCTGAAGAACTATTGGTTCTCTGTGTCACTGCTGGGTGGACCTGTCCCAATGTTTAAGACTCCTGGATTTCAGCAGCACAAATCCCTGCAGCATTACCACATCCCTTCATCATCCTCACGCTCTTCCAGCTTGCTCTGTGGAGGTTCTTGGCTAAGGTGTGAAAAGAGAGGGCACTGCCTGTTTGAGTGACCCCTAATGATCCTCTGATCGTTTTTAATTTAGGAGCCAGTGCTTCCTTTGGTGTGGCAGGTGAAGATCCCTCTCCAGCCCCCCAGGTGCACCCAACCCTGCCTCCCATGCTCTGCTCAGGGTCCTTCAGTGACGTGACATCCTACACACTGAACAGTTTAAAAATTGTTTGCCTGGAAGGCAATATATAAAGAAATTATCATGTAAAACTTGCTATTCAGGATTGGCTTCTGTTCCCACAAGACAAGCATAACTCTGTGTGTGAACTGACAGAGTGGGAGTGCAGGGAAATCTGCCCTTCCAGGGGAAAAGGTTATGTTGTTATTGCTCCCATTGTGTAAAATATTCCATTAAATGTCATTAGCATGGCATTATCTTGCCTCCTTTAGACACCAGAACCCCCTCAAAAAGGGGTCTTAATACTGTAAAGTACATTCTTCACAGGTTTAACCTTTTTTAATTAGTTTTTCTTCAGATCCAGAATATTTAATATGCTGCCATTCCCAGGTGCATGGGTGAGGGAAAGAGGACTTTGATCATTAAGAAACATCTGAGACAATTTGATCTGCATTTTTTGGGCTGTTGGAGGCAAAAGCAATTTCTATAGCTGCTTGTGTGGTGACCCCCAAATAGTCATGCACCAATGGCATAGTCCTTCTACAGTGAGTATCACAAATAATTAAAAATTAAGGAGAATTTATTATTTTTCTGCCCAGCTGAAATTCCCACAAGTCACCTCTCGGCACATTCAAGAGCGCACAAGAGGGATTTATTATTTCCTGGTATATTGACTCTGAAAGGTCTGGGGATTACAGCTGCTTTGCACATGAATAGCTGGAGTGTGTTGTACAAAAGGCACGGTCTGTGGGATAATGGGGTTGGATGTGGGAAAGCGCTGACCCTGGGGGAGAGCAGGCTGGTGCCTGATGGCAGGAATCAATTATGGCTCAAAGGAACACATTGCCCCGGGAGCAGGCTTGGCGGGAGCCACCGTGTTCTGTGTTTACCACCCTCCTGCTCGGGACCCAGATAACAAACCACGGGGTACATCCTGCCCTCCTGCCCTGCCCGGGGCTCACTGATGGTTTGGGAATGGCGCTGTTCCCCACCCCGGGAGCGGGGCTGGCACCCAGCAGGGATCTCACACGTGCTGCCAGATGGGTGTGAGGCTCCTCTCCAGCACCTCAGACCCCACTGGGAGCAAACGCTCCCCAAAGCCCCCCAGAATTCCCCATCAGTCACCTCCTGTGCCCTGGCCAGGGGGGGAACAGCCTGTCCCTGACAATGCCGTGCAGGGAGCAAACAGAGGCTGCAGGGTTCATGCACTTCCCGCATTGTTTTGGGTGGGATTTTTGGAAGACGGTGGCATTCAGCTCTTACAATGGGCTCTGCACCTCCGGGTGTCTGGCACTGCTGCCAGCCTTCCAAATGTCAAATCTGGGCTTTGAGGAGCCAAGAAATGGGCTGAGTGTCATAGGAATTGAACAAAAACATTTGGTGTTTCTAATAAAAAAATAAAAGAATTTTGATGGGAGGGGGTTTACTCACCTTTTGATTATTTTAGTGAGTATTTTGGCTTTGGATCGACATCATTAACTTTCTGTCTTTATGGAATTATGAGGCTTGGATGTGAAGTCCTGCTGAAGGCCATAAGTATTTTGAACCTCCTGATAAAAGTCACAAGACTGAGCAAGCAATGCTGCCAAGCTTTTGGCAAGGAGCAGGAATCCTGCAGGGAGGATATTTCAGAGGAGCAGGTTGAGAACTGGGAATGTGGCTCCTGAGGCCTGGCCCCAGCAACCACTTGCTGCCATTGACAGGATGGGAATGGTGTGTCCGTGCCAGAGGGGAGGGCAGCACCTCTCCCCGTGCAGGAGCAGCAATTAATCCCATCTGCATGTGGCAGATATTTCATCACTCAGACTCCAGCCAGGGCAGGGTTTGGGGTTGGGGGGGGGATAACAGGCACAGGCTTCCCGGGTGTCCCCTGAGCCTCTCTGATTGTCCCTGACTGAAGTTTGTGACCTGAAGCTGACCCTCCCTTATGCCCCAGTGGATTTCTCCCCATCCCTGGAGCTCAGCCTGAGTTTTGGGGTGAGTTTTGGGCTGTAAGCTC